AAAAGTTTTCTTCTCACGGACCAAGCGGTGAGGACTAATTCTCATATCATAGAGCCTAACGTTGGGAGAAACAGGAGTGAAGTTATAAGAGCATGGAATGGACTCAATGCAGTTAAGTTGAGGGGACTTTTGAGTCAATACGTTTGTTTGTGGAGTTTTTTGATAAACTCGCATCTGAATCAAAGGTACAGGCGGCTATTTTTCGACTTCCTCCGTCCCAAACGTGAAATCAAACTCTATTAACCCTAAATGGGGCAAAAATTGATCTAGCTTGTAAGTTTTGCCCCATGATGGTGAATTTACGGTTTTATAAAAGCATATAATTTTAATGATGCAAGTCTTAGTAGTTGGCTGGAAATCACCGTGGTTCTCAGCCTTTTGTTGACTTTCTATATGCTCTTTGTGGTTTTGTTTTAATTTAAAAGTTGCACGTAATATCCTTCTTTTATGAGCTCTAATTCACCCACTACTCTATGTCAAATTTCAATTCGGCTCCCACTAGACGTCCATTCAAACAAACAATGTTATCTTTCGAAATAGGCCCGATGTTTGAAGAAGTATTGATTATTCCTTACCTCTCCTTCCCTCTTCCCACTTTCCAAATCTTTCTTTTATAAAGAAAACAATTTTTCTCTTATTTCTCCCCTGATGCAATACATTTGCAATTATACCTATTCATATTAGGAAGATTGGTTGAATATTTTCTTCGTGCCAAATCAGAAACACACAATTTCCATCTTCTGTTCGCTGGCTATTCCATTTGTTTAAATTTCTACAATCACATTTGCTTATGTTAGGTTACCTCTAGAGAAACCGTCTCTGTAATTATTGGCTAACCAGTTGGCCAATAATTTATCAAATATTACAAGACGATATAAGTTTATTTGTTTGGTAGAATGCTAATCAGTTGAAGTTTAAGTCTGGTCCTTTCCGCCTACGTTGTTATTATCAGTCTACAATCTAATAATAGCAAAAGTGATAAAGCAAACTGTGATAAACTAAACGAAATTAAATATTTATACTTATATAGAGCTTTAAACAAATATGAACCTAAGAACGATCAAAAGAGCCATGTTTTTAGTTTCAATATGTCGTCACTTTTAATCAAATTATACATCTCCGGATCGGGGGAGTACAACTAAAGAACGGAATGATTTGTGAGTGAAATTGACAGTTTGGCCATCTTAGTTCAACCTGAGAGAACTGTAATAATCAATAATTTTTTAATACTGATGATGACGAGAACCTATGATAACTGAAACCCATCTGAATCACGGAGGGGAACAAGTTGTATCATGTTGCTCGCTCCGAGGTTCAAAATAAGGAGATTATCGAAACTGCTCAATGCCCTCTCTCAACACCATGAAGCGAACACGGAATGCACTGGAGAATTGTAGTGAAGGTCACATGGTTAGTGTAGCGGGAAGAAGGAAATATAAGAAACAACATGACTAAGTTTGTTCATCTATTTTCCTCGAAAATCTGCTGAACAAGAAAGTATTAGAGTACCCTTCCATTGAAATTTGAGCTATGTCGCCAAAGTTGCTTGGATGTTTCAGACTCTTCTATGAGTTTGCTCTCAATGAAGACCTTCAGCATTAGATACTTATACAAGCATCAGAGGTTAACTGCTCATACAAAAGGCCCCGCGAAAATTACCTGACAAAGGCTAAGTGCTTTTTAGACATAGTAAAGTACAAATAGTCTGGTTCTTTTCCGAAGTGTTCAAGATCAAGAGCTCATCTCCCAGAGTAGCAGTCCAAAAGACACTTTTAAAGTAAAGCAGACTAAATTCCCAGAATCTGGCACGATATTCGGGTGTGAGTCGTCCGTGTGTGAAGTTTTGCCTCTATTCGCATTTGATCAATGATGGCTTAGGCTAAATTCAGACAATTACTTGAAATTGCTGACCACTGTAATAGTTAAGCCCTGAATAATTAAAAAGAATTGCCAATAATAGGTTATATGTCTGATGACAGTAAGATTCGATCCTCTATCACACCTCATAGAAGTATCAAAAGTGATTGTTTGGTCATTTCTACTTCCATACTAGTCCCTTCCATACTCCCCTCCCACAACTCTAGGTCTTTAAACTATGGACCATTAAAAATGTACATTAACAATGTGGAGAATGACACTAAACACCAGTGCTCCAATACCTAACCAGTAAATGGAGGGAAGTAAAGCAAATTTCGAGACCCTTTTCAAGGAAGCTGTAAATTCGGTTTCCTCGAGGATGATTGTTTGTGGGCTAATCTGGGCTGTAATAGATCCTAATGCCGGTTATGTAGACTTCAACTCTTTCTATTGAGCTTCATTTAAGTCTAGTAAATTTTATTTTTATCAGCAACTCAAGTTTACTCGGAACTCCCTCAACAGCCTGACTAAGTATTGGCACCATTTCTCATTTTATAATTTATTGGATACATTCTCGTTATTCAGAGACAATAGATGGTAGATTTGAACAACTAGGTTATAATCTACTCAGCAGAACCAATTCTTCAATACGAGAAGCAATTTGCTTCATTGTTAAACATGTGTGACACGTCATCGTCTAATAAGTGATCGCATGAACGCACAACCAACAGCCAATCAGAAGCCTTCGTTTGTTTTATTGAATCCAATGTAAATCCTGTAAATCACAATTCACGCCACATTCTTTGTGAATGAACGTGGTCCTGGAAATACGTAAATTCCTTCAACAGCTTGTTGTAGCATGGTTAATTCCGGGGGACTTAACGAATAGGAGATCTGCTATAGAGGTTTCTGAGAATTGCCTAGGTTTACTAAGGTAGCTAATTCGCTACAAACAACACTAATTGGAAGCTCTTAAATATGGTGGCATTTCTTAAAGTTGTCAAGTTATTGTGATTAATTAACTACTCATTAAATCTAAATAAGTAGTACATTTTTTAATCTTAATATGCTCATTTATTGGATAGGCATCCAATCACATGACCTACTCTTGCACGTGAGACATATACCCACCTAACCAAGGCTTGTTGATAGGTCACATGCCCCCCCCCCATCATTTATTTCCGTTAGAGCTAGTTAATTAACCCCTAAGCAAATGACTAGACGCTTCGAGATATGCTTTACATCTTAGTTATTACCCTCACCTTAATCGAATAAACCCACATTAACTCTGCAGTCGACTGTTATCTGTCGCTGGGAGGACTGAAGAGTTATTCCGTTAATTTAGTTTAATTTGATTTCAACTTAAAATCATTATGACATTATCCTTGTCCTTAAGTTACACGCTGTTCTGGGTTAATTAATATCGTAAAAGTTAATGGCTGAAGGTTCATTTTAATCTATAGTGAGAACCGGGGGTGCGCGAAATACTTACCCCTATGTGGTGAACCCTGGGCAAGTCTATTAGCTGGCGGTTGACTTCTGACTTCAAACTACGCTCACCCCGTTGTATGTCATATTCGACTACTTCCACAGTACTCACCTCACCTTTTTTTCTACCATTGTCTCTTCCCTCCTCCCCCCCCCCACCTCTCGACTTTTTTCACTTTGATTTTCCTTCCCCTCTGTGAAGCCTGTAGTCAAGTAAAGGGCTAATGATAATTATCATAACGCCTACCAATTGATATAAATATTGTGAACCAATCCTGTTAACCCGATTATAGATTTTATTTGATTTAAAAATCGAAAGCCTTGTGGGACACGTCATCGCATGCCTGCACGCCAGGACTGGGAGGTGCGACCGTACAAACAGTGACCAATCATTAACCTCTGTTTGTTTAACCTTATCTGCCATCCTGATAATGATTAAGCTTCCTGCGTGACACTTTATCCGCAATGCTCATACTGAATAAACGTGCTCCGTGCTACACGCCTGTTTCCTTCAGAGCTGGGCTGTAGCCTAGCTGGTTCTGGGAGTCTAGCTAGATGTTGGAGAATCCGCCATAGAGATTTCTGAGTCAGTCAGGCTTTACTAGCGTAGTAATCCGCTGCACCTAGTGTAAAAAATTTAATGTTTTGCAAAAAAAAGTGGTACAAGATGCAATTGATATTACTGACGAATTTCGAATGGCATAAACCAAGTTATACCTTTTTGGAGGGGCAACCTCCGTTTTGCTAACGTGATGTTTATAATATTAGCGCTAATGTCGCAAATAAAATGTCTTCAAAATAGAGTCTCGCGAAAAATAAACTCAGTTCAGTTAGGAGCATTTGAAGCATGTGATTAAAAGATTTATTGAAATGCGCTTATGACATTTTAGAATAGAAATAAACCATAATGGGGTCGAGTTTGTGAAGTACGTGCTTTCATTATTATGAAGAGCAACTGAACACTTCAGCTTTAAGAATTGCTTGTAACGTTTCCAAGTGAGGTGAATAAGTTCTAAGAAGCAATAGTTACACGCAAAGTCCATTCGCCCACCAATTACCTCAAGAAATACAAAATCGATTATCGATCGAAGCGATTTCTGAAAGCTGGAAAGCAAATTTATGTAACTTTAAACTATTTTTCTTGGGGGAAATTAATACCATTTCAAGTACGAAATACTCCCAAGCTATTTTAATGGAAATATAATTATGCTCCTAAGCACCTGCCCAAGTTCAGCTGCTTCATCGCTTAGGAAACCTTCAAAATAGAAAACTGCTATGTTTTTTGAATACCCCCCTGCTAAAATGAACGGAAATTGATAAAACACCAAAAAACGTTTTAGGAGATGGATTTTACTATCAAAAACTCACAGAGCAATGTAAAATTGGCGATGGGAACAAATGTGAGCACAACTCAAGTACACACAGCAACGATGCACAAACTTACACTCACATGCACACATTCACCAGGTACACCAGACGGTGTAAGCAGATAAACGAAATAACGAGGGTACATATATGTATAATTTACAGTTCGCGCTTAGCAAGCACATAGGTGATAGGTTTGGAGAGGTGGGCGATAATTGGAAACATTTGAAGGGAAAGGCGACAGTGAGTATGTGAGTGAAAATAACCTTTTATAAACGACTTGGGCGATTTCATTTGTCCAAGGCTGAAGAGAGATGGACAAAGTGTGATTCTGCCGCGGGCCCAGTGGGTGAACGCGAAGATGGTGAAGTAGGAGGAGCCACTGAAGCAGCGGCCGTCGTGTTTACAGTTGTCAGCCCAATTGCAGGAGTGGCACTCTGTCCTTGGTGCTGAAGCTCGTGTTGCAACTCGACAGCTTTCTTGCGTACGGCGGGAACGTTATCAGGAGTAGGAATAGTGTCACCAGTCTGCTGAGCCGCGATTACGTCAACTGGAAGCTCCGGGATCGCAGATGCTGTTTGGGCTTTCAGCATACCAGCTTTCTGAGAATTATTGCAGCGGGCCTTAGCCATATTGTAATCACCAGAGTCAAAGTATTTTACCTAATATAAAACAGCAAAATTACACATTGAACAGAACAAGGGGTAATATAGATTTTAAATAATAATGCATTGTAAAACCGCCTCAAAGAAAATCATACATACTAAGAAATATTATGTCAATTTGTGTGGAGAAACCGTAAGATAAAGTGCTGAGGAATTTTAATTAAAATTTAAACATTAAAACCTTAAAATGAGGGGAAAACACCGAAATAGGCGAAACTGCTGAGAAATTTACGTTTTTATTAAGACGTTTCTGTAAGATCAATTGACTCTGCACACCAATGTTCGGATATTTCGCCTTCAATTTCTCTTCCGCGATCTCTTCGGGTGTTTGGCCCTAAATGATACATTTACAAATGATTTAATAGATAGTTCTTACCGAATGAACGATTCCGTTGGCGCCTTCCATAGCACAAACCAGGTTGAATACGATAACAGAATAGACCGCTATAAAAGCTAATTAATAAAACCGGTGAGGTAATATCGAAGTAAGAGAATATTAAAAAATGGTTTAATGAATATTGTTTTCACCGTTAAGTTAAACAAATGTTGCATTTTTAAATATCTTGCAAAAAATGTCGTTAATAATAACTCTCAATTTGTTAGAACTAATACGAATCCATTTAACCATATTGTCAAACTAAGAGATCTTAATCAGTTTATTATGTAGATTAGCTTTTTACCACCGTTTTGATAGAAATTTATTGAATGTCACACCATTTCCAAATGAACACATGCCGTAGCACCTTTCCACGAAATTGAGGGATTAAATGAGTCATTTCCAGAAATTTTTGTGCTTTCCTCTTTATATTTTCCCGTGTAAGATATTTCACAGTCTATTTGCCTTTTAAGTTGTGAATATAAATTTTATTTGGAAACTATTGTACAATGTTCTGACATCCTAGCACTCTGAATCTTACCTTTTATAGAAGAAACTATGTTACAATTATTTATGTTAGGTTTTGTTTTCAATTCAATATTGAAAAAGGTCCGTTGAGTTCTGCCAAGCGAAACAAAATATGTTAGTAGTATTTTATAACATAACAGTGTATTACATTAGTAAAGTTTTAAGTTATTGTAGAAATTACAATTATAGTAATGCATATCAAATCATGCATTTCAGATGCATCATGTAATTAAATGCGCAAAACATGTTGCTGACACCAAAACATGGAGCATCCTATTGAATTATTTGTGCTGTCGTTGGAATTTGACGTGGCTTTCAGGCAAATATAACTACTGTCTTTCAGTACAGCTTTGCATAAATGTGGCTTTCGTCATTATTGTAATTGTTTAATCATTTGCTCTATTATTTGCGTCCAATAATTATATTGTTAGGTTAGAAACGCAAATAGACTTTTAATCTCAACTTTATCCTAATTTCTATAACACTGAAGAAATTTTATTTGATTTTATGCAACAATACTGCCAATTCTTGACATTTGGTGAACAGTCGCTATAGGGCAACGCCAATAACTTCCCGCATAATCAATTAACATGAGTACAACCCTCATGCACAAACATTGACAATCGTGAGGAAACGGTTTCATGTATACGTAATGGCCTAAACAATGAATTCTACCTTAATTACCAAAGGAAACTAGATGAGGCTGACTGTAATAAGAAGGATTTCACTTAAATCACGGTTACATGACACTAACACATCTCAGACATGGACAAACACACAACGTTCATGTCTGAAAAGGGGTGGAGAAAGGAATAGTAATCACACAAACTGAAAATTTGAATGAATTCAGTTAGTGAAGTTATTGGTCTATTGATCCACCTTCGCCTCTTTATCAGTCTCGTCGCAAGATGTCTGAACCAGAGGGTCGAATTCTCCCGAGGTGTTCGCCTCTCTGCTGTGCCACCAACCATAACTGAAGTAGATGATCAAACCTAGAGAAAACAAATCAAAACTTTAAAACTTTGATTTAAGAGTGGATGAATTAATCCAAAAATAAACCAAGTCAATAATGCTATTTCAGTGGTATACAATGTCATGATATACTTCATTAATCATTTTAGCAATTAAGGTGAATTACTAACCAAATGCTATTGCTGTCAATGATCCAGGGTGAAATTGTGGGACACGTCATCGCATCCCCTTCACGCAATGATTGGGAGGTGCGACCGTACAGACAGTGACCAATCATTGACCACTGCTTATTTAACCTAATCCCCCATCCTGATCATAAGTAGCTCCCTGCGTGTACACACTTTACTCACAATATACGCACTGAATAAACGTGCTCCGTGCTACACGTCTGTTTCCTCTGAATAAACGTGCTCCGTGCTGCACGTCTGTTTCCTTTAGCGTGCTCCGTGCTACACGTCTGTTTCCTTTGCGTACTCCGTGCTACACGTCTGTTTCCTTTATAGCTGGGCGCCCCGTGCTACACGTCTGTTTCCTTTATAGCTGGGCTATGGTTTAGCTGGTTCTGGGAGTCTAGCCAGGTGTTGGAAAATCTGCCATAGAGATTTCTGAGTCGGTCAGGCCTTACTAAGGTAGCAATCCGCTGCAAAATGATACAATGAACTTACCAGCAGCTGTCCAAATGATGAGTCGTGCCCAAGTCATTAAGGATAATTTGACGATAAGACACATATTCAAGAAGATGCTCAGACATGGGACAAACGGAACAAAAGGAACCTACATGCGCAAAAAAACGGACATTTTCATAAAATGTTGCAAGGCAAGCATTGTATTCACTTTAAAGCTTTTATTACTTTATCAGTGATTGCGAAGTGAAGGTCTAATTTATAATAAGAAAGATAGAATCGAATATAAAAAAGAAAAAATTAACTGAAATTCCTAGATGGAAGAAAGTTGGAAAATATGCCACTTATTGTTAATTATCATCAAGATCAAATCTGACCTAATAAATTGAGTTAAAATTTACATTGTGGTACGCGTTTTGGAATACTCATTCACCGTTATCGCCTTTTCGCTAAATAGGTCTAAGTACATCCACTTAGAGCAGGGTGGTATTCAGTAACCAAAGTGTAAGGAATGCTACATTGAAACAATGAAGTAAAATATATAGCCTTGAATGTCGAATTTACGCGTTTTAGGCGCAATATTCTATTGCTTTGATTGCCTCCATGCTGTTCTATTGGTTTGGTCATCTTATTGATTTGCGTTCGAGTGATGTTAATTCTCTATTATTTTTTAAACCATTCTTCAAGGAACTTTATCGAAGAAATTTAGAAACATATCCGCGTGCGATGAAGAGTTGACAATAGAACAGAGTCATCTAGTTATAATCTAAACGCTTAAATGAACCCTAAGCTACAAACACCATATGAGGCAGAATCAACGGAAGTTTGGAGGAACGTATGGAAAGAAGCCAAAGTAAATAAACTGATGTTTATAGGTCAATAAAGCCCCCCACCTCACCCCCAATCACATCTCATAAACATTTCTGCTAAGTTAGAGCTTTTGGCGTGAAGTAAAGCAAGTGTAGACATGGATATCTAGATTTGTGGCTTTTGGCTATTTGCCGTCATCAACAATGTGGGTACACGGTGACGTTGCTATAACATTACACTGATGACAATTAATAAGGTTTTGAAGCATATTGGCACTCCTCATTCAGTTATCGCCATAAGCCTCAACGATGAGTAGCTAGGTACCTATTTACTTCTATTACAGCATTAACCCAATCATCGCCGAAAGTCACAAAATTTACGCAATGTACGTCTGCGCTCCTAAAGCAAGGACAATCATAGGTCTGGGTCAGTTAGTTAAATCATCTGTGTTTCTTGATTTTACATATTGATTGGCCTATTCCAAGTGTCCGCAATTTTGATGATCCGTCTAGTCCTCACTCTTAAAAATACTTTGTTTCCCACAGGGAATTTAGATGGGTGAATTGAGCAAAAAGGATTTGAAAAGACCAAATTAATTTAATGGCCAGGTGGGCATCTATGTATAGTAGCTTCCTCCTATTCCTGATTTTGATTCGATTTGCTTGTATTGAATGAACGAATTTCCATTAAATGACTAGTTATAGGACAATGGTAGAATGGCGTGATTCAAGTAAACATTTCAGACTATCAGCCCATTTAGTAGATTTATAATAGCGATTAATGAGGTCTCTTTATCCCTTAATCAAAAAAGTTGCCTTAACTGCTAAACAGAACAGAACAATCTACCTAAACAAGCAACTGGCGTTATTCAAATCTGGAGCCTTTTCGGCACATTATGCACTGCGCTAAAAAATTCTGTTTGTATAACAGAATTTCTAAATTTGTGTACATCTCAAGGTTGGAAAGACACTCGATCAATAGACGCACAGACTGGGTTGATAAATGGCCTGCAGGATTAACGCAGAATCGTCAAAACTAACCTTGAATGAATCGAAGGAAGTGTTCTGAACATGGATGGCCATAACAAATACTGCAGAGATGGCAACGAATACGAAAATAATAGTAAGGATAACGGACCACCAAGCGCCAGCCACGAGATATTCTGATCCTGCTAGAGCAACTGCTGCAACCCCCAAAGCCCCAGCTACATATACTACTAAAGCAACAACCGGAGCCCAGCCAGGATTAGAAGCTGAAACTGATGATAAGTGGAGTGCTGTTGCTAGTCTACGAAATCGAGGTTTAATAGAGCCCACTGGCCATTGAGTTGAGAATTCCGCAGCATTCATTTCGTAGACTCCTTCCTCCGATTTGGACTATGGTAAGAAATTTTTCATTAAATTGAATAGCTAAAAACTAGATGGAATATATTGTCTTCGCCACTTACATCATCCATAAGTGTCGGTATATTTGAACTTGCTTTCGTATCTCCTTCTTGGTCAGAGTTGCAGTAACGGAGAATGCAGACATTCATACAGACAATTGTGAAAGCAATGAGGGTGCCGATACTGAGAAACTCCGTCAAGGTATGAATGTCGCAGAGAAGAGTTAAGATAGCCGCCAAGCCTCCAAAGATTCCCATGGCAACAATGGGCACCTTTAAAAATAGCCGCAAATATTCTAAGAGTGCTTAAGTGATCGAATCAAAACATATCTATTTTCAAATATTTCCTTTCATTAAAGCGTTTTTATCACAAAAGCGCGAATTAAAGCTACTTTATTAAGTTAATCTTTATCAACATTTTTACTACTTCTACCACTGTCATTGGTAAGTTTATAAGAAACAGGATTTTTACTTTCTTGTACTGAGATTCTGTTTGACTTTTTCACTGAATTAATTATCCTGCTTAATTTAATAAGATTTGCTAATATTGTCTCTATATTTGGATCAATTAGCTCCAAAGACAGATTCGCATCAAAACCCTTTTCGTCAAAGCAAAAAAATCCATATTGGGGTTTCTGGGACATTATATCCTCTACATAACCATAATTCCACATCGACCTGTTAAGGACTAGCACAAATTCTCTACCAGCCCCATCCGGACACGATAGATGGTTTTACTAGAAGATAGGCTGTAAGGTCTTTCTAATTGTAAATAGTTACGTATTAACATGTGAATAAAATACACTATAATTGTTTTATTTATAAAGTTTGCTTAATTTAATATTGAACATTAGAAAAACATGAGATAAGAAGGCCAAATTGGATGAGCAAATTGTCCAATGAGAATTCACGCCTGAGGAAATTAAATTTTGCGTGATCGATAGCCATGGCCTTGGAAGTAAAACCAATCAAATATGAACTAAGGGCTAAAAGCCTTTTCTTTGGCTCAAGAAACAGCTAATTTAGTAAGATTTAGTCAGCAAAATGAACAGTTTTAATTATCATACATTTATAAAATTACAGATAGCAATTGTTGAGATTGCGACAAAATACCTTGGTTGTGGGTAACACATAACCAATCCATCCAGGAAGTAATCGATCAGCCGCCATCGCATAGACAATACGAGGCATTGCATATAGGCTAGTGAATAAACTAGCCCCAATGCCCAATAGAGATCCAATACCAGCTACATACGTAGCCCAGGTGATTTGTCGGGACCGTATTGCCGCTGTGAATGCCGCTTGTCTATCTATTGTCCACCAAGGCACGAAAAGTAGAAGAGCTGATGAGGCTAGCACGAAAATCAGGCTCACAATGCTCACCGATGCAGCGGTTGCTATGGGAATCGACCGTTTGGGATTAACCGCCTCCTCACTGCTCACAGTGATCGCATCAAATCCAATAAAGGCGTAGAAACAAGTTCCTGCACCTGAAATCATTCCTCCTACCCCATATGGAAAGAATCCTCCATGGGATTCGGGTGCAATTCCATGTAAAGCCGTATTCGGTTGGGCATACATAAGTATCGTGATCAGAACAAGAACACTGACATTGAGTATAGTCATTACTGAGTTGACATGAGCTGATAACTTTGCTCCAAAACTGAGAATCAGACCTAGAATGAGTACAGTTCCTGCCCCAAGTAGATCCGGATATTGCCCCAGGAATTCAGCATTTTCAGGGAATCTGAAAATGGGGTATGAATAAGGAATGAAGGCGACCTTACCTTCCAAAGACAGACATAGTTCCATTACTAATTTTTGACTGCGACATAGCATCGATCGTTGCACTCCAACCACGAGCAACACTGGCCACAGAAAGAACATATTCTAGGATCACCGACCATCCGATTATAAAGGCTAGAAACTCTCCACTAGCAATGTAGGTATATGAATATGCAGATCCAGCCTACAAAATCAAT